GGGGGTGGGGGGGGGCATTTTTGGTTGCCAAACGCAGCAGTGAGCGGTGCTTGCTGCGATAGTGAAGTCAATGCCTAGCTATATGGCCGGCTGGTCGCCGTCTGTCTGTGTGTGTGGCCGTCTATCTATCTATCTATCTCTCTTTGTTCGTGTCGTGTGTGTACAGTGAGGCCCGCGATGCACCCGTCCTCTGCCGCCCATGCAGGTCAGGTGAGGTCAGGTCGGACAGTTCCGTCAAGACTCGCACTCGTGTGTGAGTGATCGTTCGTCGGTTGCGTCAGCCGCCAGATGTTTGCTGGCTCGTGTGGGTGAGGTGAGTGGAGGGTGTTCCTTCCCTCGTTCATGATGTTATGTGATGATGAGTGGACTCTTCCTCCTGTCTGCTGTCCCGCAATGCACTCACGAGTTAGTGCCTTGCCTTTCCTTCTCCTCATCACTCTCACTTGAAGAGGATCAGATGATTAAACGAGTTCATTCAATTTCACATTAATCAAGCGTTGGGGGGTGGGTCTGTCCACACGCAGGCAGCACGACTCACTCACATCGATCCACACATGCACTGACTGACCGCCAGATCGAAGGAAAACTGGCAGCAGCAGAGAAGGGACCACGAGCACTTGTCGAAAAGTCTGACCATGGTGGTAGGTACTATAGTACTGAGTGCTGTTGACAGCAGCGGCAGCTAACCAGCCGCTTTTCTAGCGTTTGAAGCCGCTGTGTGGCTTGACCTCTGAGCGCGGCACTGGGCTGATCTTCCGGCCGTCCTGACACCACACACACACACACACACACAGGTGTCGTCACACACGTGTGGAAATGGCGGGTGTGGGGGCCCGTGTGTGTACCAGTGAGGTGCTCATGATCTCCTCGACGTTCTTCTTGAGCGTCTCACGCTCATCTGAACAAACACAATGAACCAATACACCCGCACATGGTAATGGCTGTGACACAAGACAGCTCTTCTGCTGTCCGCCTGTCTGCCGACCAGTCCCTGCCCACCCACCGTTGTCCGCTTTCGCAAACCAGAGCTCGATCCTCACGGTGGCGCTCTGCGGACTCCGGCCCGTGTTCACCTTGTCCACCTGCACACACACACACCACACACACACACACACACCAATGACACACACACACACACACACCAATGACACACACACACACACACACAGCAAGGCATGCATTCACCGCACATATAAGATGTCTGTCTGCCTGGGTGACATACATACGTACCAGTCTGAGTCCGGTGATGATGTCGTATGGTTCGACTGTCTTGCCGATGACGCCCAGCACGAGGTTGTTCCAGTACTCGTCCATCTGACCGGGGGACGCCACGTCCTTGGGCTTGATCTGAAACTGCACACACACACACACCACAACACCCACCCACCAGATCAACGGTCAATCCGTCGATCGGTCGGTCGTTTGTTTGCTGGGTCGGTCTCGCTGACCTGCAGGTGGCCTCCGTCTGCGTTCTTGGGGTCCTCCCATGTTGGCTTGATGTTCTCTCTGCACCACACGCACACACACACACACGCGGATAATGCCTCGTGATCTTGTCCATCGAAGGCTGTGTGTCTGGCTAACTGACTTGAAGATCATGATGCCATCTACGTAAGAGGTCGACCCGTCCTTGTTCTCCCGAACCATCCTGTTCCCACCACAGACAGCGAGTGATGTGAGCCCGAGCTGACGCCGTGTGGTGTGCACGTGCCGGTTGTGTACCATACCTACCTCCTGCTGTCGAGAAGGATGGACGGCTGTGGAATGAAGTCCCAAAACCTCCAAAAATCCTGCAGGACGATGCACACCGGCATCCATCAGGAGAACAACATGGGCGTCTTCCACGGATGCTTATGAATGCGTTCGTACCTTGATGGTGCTGAAGTTGGCGAACTTATGTGTCTGTTCGTCATAGTTTTTGTTGTCGACGCCGCCCGATGTGCCTGGCTGGATCTGCTCCCAGATGGACCATGTGTCTGCCAGCGGCAGATCCTCGGGCACGCCGTCCTCGTCTGCGGCGCCGAACTCGGCTCGTGAGTAATCCTTGTTGAAGGACAGATACACCCTGCCGTCACCCATCCTGATTGAAATGCACTCAGATTTGCGAAGCTCGCAAGGGTGAAGGGTTTAGAACCCTACTTCTGAAGCACAATGCTTTTGCGCAGGTCCGGCTTTGTGCGAGGCGGGCTGGCAGCGCTCCATGGCCCGCCTCTTATTCCAAGTCACAGCCTTCCGTTCGGTAAGACAATGCAGACAGGCAGTTGGCAGTTGGCAGGCAGGCAGGCAGCTGGCAGGCACACAGCCATTTGGGTATGCACAGGTGTCGGAGCATCGTCTCCAGTGCTGTTGACAAGAGAGAGTCTCAAACAGACGGGCGTGCGGTGCTTCGCCTCGGGTAAGTGAAATCTGCCGAAAAGCGATGTATAATGTTCTCTTGTTCTTGTGTGCGTGTTGCAGGCCCTGCTGCGGACACAAACACCGCCCAGCAGGTGAGATGACCACATGAGAGATCCCAAAGTGCAAGCACGAGCACTTCTAGATCTGTGTGTCTGTGTGGTGCATGCATGTCACTTGTCAGGTCGGTTCGTATGCGGCCCATGTGTCTGCGGGCATCGCCAGCCGCGAGAGGACCACTCTGGCTGACAGCATCACTTCACTGAGAAGGAAGATCAAAGCACTGGATGCCAAACTCACCACAACCACTGCAGAGGTACATAGCGGAAGGGGTGCAACCATGGAACGACCAGGGAGAGCCGGGTGTGTATGTGTGTGTGTTGCATTGCAGATGGGTCAGATCCACGAGGCTTTGGGAGCCCTGCGAGACAGCGTCCAATCGCTCCACGCTCTCCGCGACAAACAGGTGGGCACGCATGAACAGAGGGGGGTGCATGTGGCCCCACACACACATGCACACACATATCGTGTGTCTTTCTCGCAGCCTGAGGACCATAGTGGGGCTCTTGACCAGCTGGAGACGACCGTCACTGCTCTCAAGCAGAAGGTGCAGGCCAACGATATGGACATCAAGCAGGTGAGGAGCAACATGCTGCCCGATACAAGACCATCAGTGTGTGTCTGTTGTTGCAGATGGGTCATAACCACGAGATGCAGATAGGTCAAATGCGTGAGGATCTCGACACTTTGAGAGACTGCATGTACTCTTCACTCGAAAAGCAGGTATGAGCACATCGACGCGCACATCCGCCACCACACAGACGCATCCCTTTCTCGCAGCCCGATGACCAGCGGGAGGTCCTCGAGCAGCTCAAGATGGCCGTCTCGGCTCTGCAGCTCAAGGTCCAAGAGAATGAGGCAGCCACCAAAGAGGTCAGCAAATGTCCTCGTCGCTGGCCGCTAAAGACACCGGAATACACCTCTTCTGTGTGCTTCCATGCCGGTTTGTCTGTCTGTCAGGAGCTGGCCACTGTGCAGCGGTTGAAGGGCATAGCAGCGTCGACGGAGAGGCTGCTCGACGATGCCTGGGTCTCTGGCTGTGTTGCCCTTTACAGTGCGGTTGTCTTGGGTATTGCCGGATTCTTGGGGCAGCTGAGTCAGAGCCAGAAGACCAAGGCGCCTACGCAAGGGGCCAGCAGTGGTTTCCGCCCGTCCGACGTTGCCTCGACAGCTCAGCTATTGGACCTACTCGCCCTGACAGGAAAGACAGTCAAGGAAATCAGACACCTCTACAAGTGTGTCGGTGGGGGGACTGGGCGTGAAAGGAGTGCACACTCTTTATTTACACACATCCATTCTCTCCCTGTGTGTGTATGGTATGTGTGAATCCTATCGATCGATCAGCTCGACCGAGCACGGCTCTGAGTAATCAGAACGAATGACGTCACCTGTATGTCGCAACCACCCCGTGTGTGTGTGTGTGTGTGTGTCCAATCAGTTACTACACCTTCTTGCAGCGTGTCGAGAGCGCCAGCAACCTGCTGCTGCTCATCCGCAGCGGCCCCTTTGCATTTGCATACTTCATCGACGGCACCATCCCCTTCCCCCATCCCGCCACACGCCTCACTGTCGGCCGCCCTCTGCGAGTCTTCTCTGTGAGCGGCCATGGCAAGAAACCTACGGAGTTCAGCGGCCAAGGGCCTGCAGAGGTGGTGCTGGTGGGAAAGAAGCTGCGTCAGGGGCACAGGATCAAGATCGACCACAAGGGCTTCCTTGCCCTCGGTGCTTTTGGAAGCCCTGACATCCGGGAGTGCTGCCAGCTCATCTACAGAGATAGCCTGCCCAAGGGGTACTGCAGTGCGATGTGCGGCGGGAAGCACTACTTCACGGCAGATGTGGTGGAGGCCTTCACACTCGTGGAGCGGGGCAAGTGAAGTAGACTGACTGGATGGCATGGAATGGGGGGATATGAGTGTTGGTTCGTTTTTGTATTGTTCGGAGGGGAGGAGGCTGTGTGGTGTGGTGTGTGTGTATGTCCCCCGCCCCGCTTCCCCCCCTCATCTGTATGTATGTATTTGTTGTGTCAATGTATACATGTATTGTGTACGTATGTCATGTATACTAGCCTGCCTGCCTGCATAGACTGCCGCACCAGACAGTGACCGATTTTCCGGGACCCATTTTCCCCTGGCTACACTCATCACATTCAACCTTCGGTCGGACTCGGATGGACGGACATGCAGCCATCGAACACCCAGCAAGCCAAATACACACACACCGTCCATGCCCTTGCTCGTCACTCGTCATCCTCCTTGATCTTGAGCGGCATCACGCTGCACTCAGTGATGACCACAGCAGTGGTCGGCCTCTCGTTGGCACACGGCAGCTTCGCTATCCGACGCACCGTCCGCATCCCACTCACCACCCCTGGGTGCGTGGCCACCATACAAACGCACCCCAATCGTCAAATGCGTCTCTGTTCTGTCAGTGTGTGGTATTGTGTTCTGTCTCTCGAGCGTACTTCCGATAGCGACCGTCTTGCCGTCGAGGAATGACAGGTCTCTCAGCGTGATGTAGAACTGAGACCCGATGGTGTTGGAGTGGGGGCCGCGGTTGCACATGCCCTTGCATTCATTGAGACACACGCACAGAGAGAGACAGCCGTCGCGAGCGTCCTTTATTTGTATGTCTCGCTCGTGTCTCACAGGCCCACCAGGATGCCGGGCTGGCTGTGGTCGATGGCGTAGCTCTCCTCTGAATGAATGGGTCAGTGAGACAGGAGAAGCGTGATGGATCGATAGACGAGCCAGCTCATCACCCACCCCACTGACTGACCAGGCAGGTTGTCGCCCGAGGCACTCACGCTGTTGGCACCCGACCCGTCAACGATGTCTGCATCCCCCCGTGAGACACATGCATGGCCCACACGTGCACTGCATTACACGTGTGTGTGTGTGTATGTGTGTGTGTGTGTGTGTGCATGCACCTCCCGACTGTATCCAGCCGTCTGGCAGGACTCTGTGCACAAGGCAGCCCTTGTAGCCACCTTTGACCCCCTGACCCTCAACCAACTTCAGGAAATTGTCACACATCCGAGGCAACACGTCAGTGAACAGCTGAGGAGGGGCATGGCAGGCAAGAAGAATAGCAAGACATGCATGTGTCTCTCTCTCTCTCTCTCTCTCCCTCTGTGTGTGTGTGTGTGTTGTGTGTGCCTCTGTGTGTCTGTGCCTCTGCCCACCTCAAAGACGACATTCTCTCCCGGCTCATCACCGATTTGGAAAGTAAAGGAGCAAAAGATGTGCTGCATGCGACACATAAACACACACACACAGACACACACACACACACACACACATGACAAGCACAGACGACACGTCCCTCCTCGTTGGCATGGCATGCATGGCTGACCTTTGTGTCCCGCATCGCGCGATCGAGCGCCTGTGTTGCCCTCTTGTGATACAGAGCATCCTGCCGAGACAGACCCGAGACACCACAAACAAAGATCGATGCAGGCACACAGACCCGCACAAATAACGCCCTCTTAAGCTTTCCCCTGCTGACGTTTGTTCTGTCGACATAGCCGAATCGCTTCTCTGCCCAGCTGAAGAATCTGGGTGGAGAGGGGAAGTAGAGGGTGCGGAGGGGCTTTCTAGTCTCGCAATACACCAGGGGGATTTGGGGCTTCGCCGGATAGAACGCGTCGCCATGCTTCTGCAGGCGCACACACACACATCCACACAGGGGTGGAGGGGCTGAAGGGCGCTGTGCCTGTCCTGACCTTCGTTATTCTCTTGACTTCATGCTCAAATTGGCTCTCGAACAAACCTGACCATCATCGTTAGCTCATTCATGTGCACGACCAGGGCTCTTGAAGAGACCAAACCTGTGACGCAGCCATCGATTCGCTCAACAGTCGATGACAGGTGCTGCAGCCACACGAACAGTGTCATGGGGTGGACAGCACATGTGTGCAGTGATGTCCCACTGCTTGTGCGCCCATCTGCCCTTGTCAACACACCTCTGCTGCTGTCTTGATACGCTGGAAATCTGCGCTGCCGATCTTTCCCACCACGTGGATGGTGTACTGGGTGCGCGCCGACTCTCCTGTGCTCAACTCCTGTGGACTCAACTCCATCTTTTTGTTTCGGAAAGGGTGAGCCCCGGGGGCAGTGTGGGGGCTCAACTCACGCAGTCGGCACTGGCAGCGGTGTTTCCGCCTATCGAAAGAAGGTTTCTTGTCGACGGTTTCGTCATTGAAAAGCAACGTACCTCCGGTGCAAGTTAGTTGAACCGCTCACACCGCTGCAACCTTGCAGTGCCACCGTCAACGTAACGTCATCATGCCCTATGTTGCCTTCCAAGGCGCCCCATCCCCCAGCCAGAGGTGAGCCACAACTGAGCAATGCATGAGCCCGCGAGGAGAATTCTCCTTAGTCCTTTCCTGTGTTGTGTCTCTTCTGCCCTTTTCCCAATGTGTCGATCTGTTGTGCGCAGGAGAGGGTCCCCTGATCAACACACGGCGACGGAGGCGGACCAGCTGGCCGCGGACACATGGTTGTGCGTTGCAAGCGGAGAAGACATTCTGGATGTCGTCCGGCCGGCTGTCGACGTCGCCAATGAGGTCGACACATGCAATCGATTGCCAGTGCAACATTGCAACAGTTTGTCTCTCGCTGGTTGCAGGAGTATTTGAGGCAGAAGCGTCGGTGGCAGAGCTTGATGGGGCTCATTGGTCAGCTGGTCGCTGAGATACAGCGTCGTCACGCATTGGCGAGAGACGCTGCAATGCGTGCTCGTGCGCCGAGGACGCAGTGGGGTCCACGCCCCGGGCCCGCTCTCAAGCCTGACGTCAAGATGCCGCCACCATATGGATACAAGCGGGAGAAGATATCGCAGGAGAAGGGATGGTTCGGCGGGCTTTGCTCATGCACCAATCCGATGCATTTGGAAGGTGAAGATGTCGAGTTCTGGGTGCCACAGGACCCCCTGCCGCAGGTGGGGTGGGCTCACACGCCAAGTGCCTTCATGCCATCGATGGATGTGTGCAGGCTCATTTGTGTGACTTGTCTTGGCCTGCCTGTTGTGTCTCTGTTCAGTGGGATCGCCTGTCGGCTGCCATCCGCTATGCACACGGGGAGGACAGGGCCCGCTACTGGGAGCCCGAGCGCACCGGCATCTACTCAACGTGCGTCTACCCTGCCCCGCCCCAACACTGCCGTGGTTCAAGCATCGATGCGGTGATTGAGGAACGGGGACCGATGGGCTTCATGGAGTCGGTGTACGTCAGCAACGCTGTGGCAGCGTATCTCGCTCACATCCAGGGGCCGGACACCGAGGAGGGTGCAAGTGAGGGCGGCGAGTGAGGGGAACGAGACGACTGGTGGAGAGGAGATGGTGTGAGGATGGAGCTAACGGATCAGGCAAGAGACTGGGGAAGGGCGACGAGCTGATTCATTCATAGGCTGTCTGGGGTAAAATGAGTGGGTTGTGAGTGTGCCTTGGTTGATCCGCTTTTGTGATGCTGTGCGTGTAAGCCGTCTTTCTCGTCTCTTGTCCTCAAGCAGCTGCTGGCTCTCCACTTTGTGCGTGACATTCATTCCCGGACATACTTACATGTGTCCGGTCTCTCTAATCGTGCGTTGAACGACCTAATTAAACCTGTTGCAACAACGCAATGATGTGCGGCTTTGTGATGGACCGGCCACCCGCCCCACAGCTCGGTCCTGGGCATGGACATCGCTCTTATTACTGATGATAGATCGTCTATATCAGTTGACGGATGTCTCAACACACTCATAGAGACACAGAGACATGTATATTACAGGGGCGTAGAAAGGGAAAACACACAGACCGGCATGATATAAAATGTAGACAGCCATCGAAGCCGCCTCCGCTTCCATCTCAGAAGCTATTGTGGCGCGCAGCTTTGTTGGCTGCTATGGCGATGGCCTGATCGGTCTCGTCGGCAGCCGGAGATATGCCCTCACAGATGAGCTGCTTGGTGTCGGGGGGAAGGCGCCAGACCTCAAATTGACGGAGGCCGACGAGCCACACGTGCCTTCTGTCTTGTTGGTGAGGGATGCGAGAGAGGCGGTTGCCATAGCCGCTGATCGGGTGAGGGGCGCTTCGAGTAGCTGCTTGGTCTTGGTATCATCGAGCTCCCCAGCTGCTGCGGCCGCTGGATCGATCTCTTCATTCTCCACCCGCTTGGCAAGCACTACGGCTGCAGTTGGACAAGATGGCCGTCTGCAGACACAGACAGGGCAAACAGGCAGATGAACGGATAGAGACATCAATACGTGTCTCAGGGTGAGATCTAGAACATGGTGTTGCCTACACGATGTCATCAATCAGCCGATCTATCAGAATCGCCTGCAACACGCAAAGAACACCTGGTGCTTTTGGTGTCGCTTCCGCGGGAAACATAATACCTTTCGGCTGCTCTCTCTCTGTGGTTTTATCCACACTGGGACCCCCCTCGCCCTGCACCTCTGCTCGAGGTCCGGCTGAGGCAGCGGTGAGCCTCCTCCACCCCTCTCAGTCAGGCCCGCCATCTGCTGCATGAGCTGTGTTGGGGGCAGACGGGTGTAGACGGCCTCTGCTGCTGCTGCTGGGTGGTGGCTTGGGGAGGGGAGGGAGGGCCCGGAGGGGGGAATGGGCGAGGCGTCAGAGGCGGATGCAGGTGCGATGGCGGCAAGAGGGGTCGAGTCATCATGTGAGGGTCCAGGATGGGACGGCATGACGGGGAATGTGCCCACAAACTGACACACATCGACAGAAAGAGCACATGAGAGGTGATTCCACTGTCTGAAACGAAAGAATTCTGCCTGCTGTGTTCCGTTGCGCACCTCCCGGTCTTCATCTTGCTCGTCGGTCCTGATTGCTGGCGCAGGTGCTGGCACTGGGTGCTGAATTCCATTGCGGCTGCGGTGCATCATGTGCTGGGCGGCGTCTGCTTTATTCGGGCCCGCATTGTCGTCACTTTCGTGGCATTGAAAGCGCCTGGACGGCTCCTCAGCGTGGTTCTTCATCTTGTTGCCACTTTGCTTTGTATAGCCGAAACCAACCAGCACATACGGTAAAGGTGCGCCCCGGGGACAGCTCAATGGTGTGGGGGAGGCCCGCAGGGAGGTGTGGGATGGTGGCCGGTGTGTGTGCAGGCGGCGCTGGCGAGTCTTGGCAGCTGGGGAGGGAGTGTGAGTGCCGTGGCGACTCCTCTCCTGCCGATGTCGCCTCCTGGCTGGGTGACCCAACCACTCGGTGGAAAGGCGACTGGAGGAAGGAAATGACCACATACACACACACGCTCACACAGAGGGATTCACTCGTCATCTCCCTCCCTCCCTCCCTCCGTTTGTGTGTGTGCGGTGCGTGCGCCTGGCTGGCTGGCTGGCTGGCTGAAGGTTCGGGCGTACCTCCGTGGGAGTGTCCTTGCAGGCGGGCATGAGGGACTCCTTCTCCACAAAAGCGACGGTGCTGCCCTCCATACTCCCCACCCCGCCCGTCCTCGTCAGCACCCTCCTGTGTGCTGCCGCTCACCCCCCTCCGGCTGGCTTACTGCACAGCACTGGCTGGCCGTCATACTCGTCCACTGCAGATAAGGCAATGGTCTTGCCCTCCCTCTCCTCCTCAGCACTGAGGGCCTCCTTCTCCCTCTCCCCCTCCCGAGAACGATAAGAGCCCCAGCCAAAGAACTTGAGCCCCAGCCAAAGAACTTCCCACGACTCGGAGAGAGAGAAACCCGAAGAAATCCCAACGAGACTCAGACATAGTCCCCTGCTGGCTCTTGCCGGTGGCGCTCGCGCCGACCTCCCGCCGCTGTGCCGTTGTCGAGCGCTCGTGTGGCCATGCGTGTCGTGTGGATGGCGGGATGGGTACTAGTCCGGCCAGGGCTGCTCCTTTTCAGTGCGCTCCGGGCAGGAAATGTGCTGCATCAGTGCCGCAGATGGCGCGGCCACGTGCAGCGGCTGGGTGGCAGCTTGCCTATAAGGTGGTTGTTTGACGTTCATATCCCGTCTCCTGACGAGAATTCTCGACGAGAATTCTCACCCCAAAAGGTCAACACCTGAACCACCACGCACGAGCACACAATGCCGTTGGTGCCGAGGAAGGAAGGAAGTGAAGTGAAGTGAATGAAGTGCCAGTGGATCGCCCGCCGGCTCGCAGGTCGTGGACACGGACAATCTTACCCTTAACCACGACCATTGTTTGCTTCTGGTGATGGAGAAGAGACCTAAGTTAGTAGTTATCGAAGGCCGCAAGGTTGTTCGGGTGTCGCTGCATCGCACCGTCACCGAATGCAGTCCTCCGAGGCAGAGGGGGCACGCTCTGCAATGCAGGCCTCGCTGTGTGCTATGCTGCTGCATGTTCTCGGGGGACGCTCGGGCTGCCGCGAGGAAGGACAGCGCAGCCAAGAAAACCCCACGGCTGCCAGGTGCGCACAGGAAGGAACAAAGACCACTGTGATTCGCCCCTTCCACGTTCGTTCGGTGTGCTGCAGATTCGCCTGTGTGGGACCTGAAGGCTGGTATTGGCGAGAGCATTGTAGTAGAGACCACCGAAGTGCCCTGGCGAATTTCTCACATGCTATTCGCTGTCGTCGTGCCCCAATCAGCCGCTGCCACCGGTGAGAAGCAGCCACTGACCGATTGCCTACTCAGTCCGACTGACATGTACCCTCTTCTGTCACATACATTAGCGGCTTCCCAATCAGACCTGCCCATCATTCTGCGCGTGTCTGAGGAGCCGCCCGCTCCCACTACAGCAGCAGCAGCAACAGCCAAGGACACCAAGAGGCAGCAGCAGGACGGCCAGCGGAGGAACCGGCGCGTGGTGTACGAGAACACCGTGCCCTTCTCGCCGGCTAATTTTGGTCATGTGGGCGGGAGCGTGCTGGTGGTGGGGTGCCTTGCTCGGGAGGGGAGCCGGCAGTGGTCGTTCAGACCGCTCAAGATCAGCCTCACACACACGGGGGATGCAGAGCTGCCTGAGGCGCTGCAGGTGGGCACCACGAGCACTCTCCCTGACTACACGATGGATGTATGGCTTTGCCTATGTATGCTATGCATTAATGTGTTTCAGTCGATTTTGAGGAAGCTCAAGTCTGGGGAGCTTCCCCTGTCGGCGTATGTTGGCTCGCCATCGCCGCGCAAGCACCTCGTGCCTGCGTCAGATCTTCGCGAGCGGATCGCCATTGCAGCGGCAGACGAGCGGACGAGTGTGCGGGACTCGTTTCGACTCGCTCTCAAAGTCGACCCGGTGAGGCACACCTTCACAAATACACTCGTGGATTGCGAGCGCATGTGTGTGCGGTGTGGTGTGTCGTCAGGCGCATCTGACTCATAATACGCTGGAACGGGAGAATGAGGTACGCAGAAAGACCGCGTCAATCCATTGCACGTGTCATTGTCAATCGTGCCACTTGTGTGAGTTCAGTCCCTCCGCAAACACTTGAAGAGCTCTGAGAAGGTTCCAGACACACATGAAGAAACACCCAGCAAGCCTCAGGTCTAGTCTGCCGTCATCCTTGCCATTTCAGAGCCGTATTGCGTTGCATGACGAACTCCGCAAGACAATCGGGGACCTGGAGGTGACTCATGGATGACACCGCCACGCACATGTGCTTCCATTTTGTCTTGTTTTGCGCTCCTTCTGCTTGGTCACAGCTGGCGCAGCAGGTGATGGAAGATCTGGAGAGCAAGATCCAGACCATCGACCGCCGCCCACACCAGTCACAGGCCCCACCACCAACCCGCAAGTCGCCTACACCTCCACGCAGAACGCCGGCACGGCCAGGGGTGAGCTTACCACCGCTTGCATTGCTCTTGACCGAATGCACTGCACTTTGGTGTGTGTGAAGGAGATTGCTGACCGTGAGCATCTGCACTCGTTGAGAGAGCAGATACGGGAGCTGGAGGGCAAGATGCGGCAGTACCACACGCGGCGGGAGAGAAGGACGGATAAGCGTGTCGAGGATGATGATGATGAGGTTGACGTTCCTCAGGGAGGCAGGAGATCGCCGCCGCAGCAGAGGGCAATACCGCGATCAGGTGAGCCGAAGATGAGGTGCTTCAATGGCCGTTGTCCACCGCCACCTGCAGCCCTTTGTGTCTCGTCTTCTTGCAGTTCCTCCCCGTCCTGTCCCCTCCCACCGTCCGCCAGCTTCTATGGGCCACCAGACACAGACAGCACACCACTTCTCCCTCACCGCCCGTCTCAGGCCGTCCCCTCCGCTCTCGCCACCCTCCCACACACACCAGCAGCAGGAAACGATGCTCGCCGAGCTTAGGCGGGACTACGCCAGGCTGGCAGAGGAGAACTGTCGGCTGAAAGGGTGCCTGCAGAGGGCGTCGCAATCGACGCATAGGGGGCGGTCTGACGGCGTGCCCACGCCGATAGCCAACATGGATGTGGGAGGAGCGGGGCGGCCGGCGGTATTCGATGAGATGGATACGGTGTTGGTGGTGCCTGCCAGGGTGGCGTCTCAGGAGAGGCGGGAGAGGGCGGCGGATGACGATCCCTCCGGTCCTGTATTTGCCTTCAAAAGGGACTATACGAGACTCGTCCAGAGGCATGAAGGGTACGTACCGTGGGTGTGCCACAATAGAATACGACGAGGCGGGCAGAACTGATTGCATTGCTTGCACCCCTGTGTGTGTTGTTGCCTCTCCTTTCTTTCCTCTTTCAGTGTCCGTCAGAGCCCGCCGGCACGCCCCATCCACCCTGCAGCCAAGTGTCCCTTCATCCCCCTCACAGGCCGGTCGTCCGCTGGCCTGCCATCAGCACGTCGGCCCCCCTCTGCCCCTCCCGCAGCCACTACAGTGGCAGCCCCCATCTCGCAGCGGTTCGCGCGTCTCTCACCGCCACAGCAGGAGCGAGTCGTCAGCCCCATCTCATCCGTCGAGGCGACTCGGCCCGTCACAGTGCAGCCGAAGATGTCGTTTGCCGCGTCAGCGACCGATGTGCCGATGATGCGGCCCGTCGCCCCCTGCTACCCTGCCATGGTAACAGTCCAACCGTCATCTCCGCAGGACCCGAAGAGGGCTCCTTACACCCACCATGGGGCGATGGTGCGGCCCCCCTACCCCCAAAGGCCACCATCGCCCCCATCCCCTCCGCCACCACCCAGCGACAAGCGAGCAGTTCCTGTGGAGACAGTCGCCCGCTGGCCAACGGAGTCTCGAGTGCTGCGTGACCCAACCTATCGAGCCTGGGAGGGTCCTCAGCCGAGCATCCCGCAGGAGATTCCACTGCCGGCATCCGTGCCACGGCCTCCCACGCCCCCCACTCGGCCGCAGATGTTTCCCGTCAGTGTGCCAATGGCCTATCCAGCTGTCGCCATGCGGCCGCCGCCATCTGGACCTTCGCTGCGTGTGCCAACTGCGGCATCAGCAGCATGGACGAGAGCACCGACCGAGATCAGTGGGGAGAATGGGAGGCTGGTCCGGTCGGTTTCGCATCCACACCACCCCTTGCAGCACGACACACATATCAGCATGGCCCCAACGAGACCCTTGGCCTTGCCGTCTGGCCCTCAGCTGGTGCTGCCCGGCCCACCTCCTCCCCCTGTTCAATCGGTGCCTCTCACTAACCAGGCGTCTGTCGTACCTGGCGAAGTGTTCCAAGGGGGTGATGGTGCTGTGGTGGTGCGTTATGAGTACAGGGAGAGAGTGTCGCCGCCACGAGGCATCCTGCCCGCTTATCGAAGATGATGGGAGGGGGGAAGGGGGAGGGGCGTGGCGTGGGTGCATGTCTGTGTGTGACATGTTTGGGTGTGGATAGGAAGTGACAGACAGACAGACAGACACCTTGGTTTGCGGTCAATGCGACTCATGACTGACATCTATTGATTGAAAGCATGATCGATATGTATGGGCCGCAGGCAGTGTCATGTCAATCAAAACTGACGACGCATCGCTGGCTGGCTGGCTGCATCATGTGCACAAGAGAACCATCTTTCCCTGCAGTCCTGGCTTGACGCTGTCTGTCCTTGAGCTGATGCGCAGAAGGACGAATGCCGCCAAGTTGTACACCACATATCACGGCCGGCTGTCTCATATCCATTCTCAAGTAGCATACAGATACAAGTAAGAGGGCTCATCACATCCATCCATCCAGAAAGTATCTATCGACTGACCGACGCTAAATAAAAGCAACAGCGTCCTACATGTCAGTCAGAGCCCAAACCACCCACCCGCACCCACGCATCGATCGCATCCACCTACCCTACCCCACCCGCCCCATCATCATCATATCCTTGAGACGGTGTCGATGATTTGCGGTTCTTCTTCCTCTTCCTCCTCCTCTTCCTCTTCTTCTTCCTCCTCCTATCACACACACACACACAAAACATGCGGATTTCTATCCAGCTGTCTGTCTGTCGCCTCGCTCATCCCTCGTGTCCGTCCGCTGAGCTCACCTCTGCCTCCTCCCCCTCGGGCAGCAGCTGGAACTCAAAGTCGTTGATGAACCTGGCGTACTCGGCCACCCCTTCGAGCTCAGCCAGCGTGTCCTCGAGGCTCATGGCCTTGAACTCCGCCAGCGGCTGGTCGGAAATCGACTTGGCCATGTCCTCGAAGTTCTCCATCCGCTTGTTGAGCTCGGGCAGCTGCTCGAGCACCGGGCTCTTCTCCACCTCTCGGTCGTCGGCCTCCTGCGCCCTGAACCAAATCTCCTTGTTGAGCACGTGGAACGGCGTGATGATGGCGATGCACAAGGGCAGGAACTTGGCTGTGTCGTACTGCGCCTCAGCCAGCGGCTTGACCAGGTCGTCCAGAGGGCCGGGGAGGGTGTACCGCACCTCGGGGAAGAAGGCACCCGATGCATGGGCCATCTCGGGCATCAGCAAAGGGACAGCCGCGACAGACGCCGCCAGCAGGACCTTCTGCAGGTTGGTCAGGCCAGTGGCCGGCTGTGCCGCCATCTTGACTGTTGATCTGTGCCTGGATCTGAGGGCATTGGGAGCTCGGAGGGAGGGGGGAGTGAAGGCAGCGATAGATGCCAGCTCGCTAAGGGCCAGAAGGGCCACTAAGCAGATGGCTGCTGCTCTTACGTCCTTCATTTGCAGACAACGACCGCAGATCTCTGCGAGCTCAGAATGGTTTGAACCCTAAACCCTGAACCCCGCGGGGAGGATGACGAGAGCAACAGACACACTCAAGATCTAACACACTCCGTTTAGGGGTTTAGCATGGAGGAGACGTCTGCGGCGCTGCACCTGCATACAACTCCTGTCGTGCTCAAGGCGTCGCCCTCCCTCATCCACGGCAATCTCGTCGCCTCCCAGCGGCGCATCGCTTATGCGCATCAGTCGAAGGTGTGTTTCTACGCGGTGGACAGCGAGCGGTGTGTCGACGGGCCCACCACGTCCAAGATCATCAGCCTCCACTATGTGCACATCCGGAAGGCCGGGCCCAAGCCCATGCTCATCGTCAACATGGCCAACGGAACGCAGATGTGGAACCAAGACGGCACCAGGATGCTCTACTACCTGCCCGTGCAGCACCCGCAGACATCCGCCACATCCACGTCAGCAGCACAGAACGCGGCAGTGGACATCGGCAAGTGCCACAGAGGGGCGGCTGTGTGCGCCTTCCCGCAGGCAGACCATGTGATCATCGGCTCATCTGCGGGCGAGCTGATCATCATCCGCACCGACGGCGATGCCTTCCATTCGTTGGCCACACGCAAGGTCGCCTCAGCATCGCCCGTTATGGTGGTGGCGTGCAGCGGTGAGGGCAGCGACCAGCATGTGATGAGCGGCCATGCCAACGGGGAGATTGTGTGGTGGCGGCCTGAGGCCAACGGCATGTACATGCAGCTGCCGGGCGCATTGCAGCACGCACAGGACACCCCCACATGCATGAAGGTAAGGTGGGCAGGGAGGGAGGGAGGGAGGGACGGGGACAGAAATCGATGGATGGATGGATGGATGGATGGCAGGATGGAGGGGGGACATATAAGTGAAGTGTCTGTGTGTGTGTTGTTCAGGTGCTCGGCAACACGCTGTACTGCGGTTTCGGGACGGGTCACTTGCGTGTGTACGACGCGGTGCGGCGGGAGCTGAAGATCGAGATCGCCGCACACGGCCGCTGGATCAACGACATCGACGTCAGACACGATGTAAACAGCGAGGGAGGGAGGGAGGGAGGGAGGGAGGGGGAGGTAGAGAGGCACCGTGATGATGAGAAGTCTTAAGTTTCAGTCCTACACCACAAGGATGAGTGTGTGACGATAAACACGCGACCATACTCTCTGAACACGCAGAAGACATACAAAGACACCCAGGAAGGAACGTCCATGTAGCTACGACTTCCGTCGACAATGTGTGTGGCCACATTTGTCTGTGTCATATACTGCTGCGTTTGTGTGTCCTACAGGGGTTGGTCGCATCAGTCGGCGAGGATACGGTGCTGAATGTGTGGCGCTGCCCGTCGTGCGACAGCGAGGTGTCGCTGGCACACTCGGCCGTCGTGACGGAGAGCCTGCTGACGGGGGTGGCGTTCACACAAAGGCGAGGTGATACTGCCGACGAGGGTGCTTTCGCTGTGTGTGTGGTGGCGTATGACAGCGAGGTGCTCTACTTCTTGTCCAACCGCCCATGGGACGTCAACATCTAGCTAGCTTGGTCGCTTGCCTGGCTGGCTGCCTGGCCGATTGCGGGGAGAGGAGGGTGGGAGTGTCTATATTCATTATATCCGTCTCTATATATAGATATCTGTGTCTTGTCTCGCCCTGTGTCTGTCCGCGTGTCTCTGTCCGCATGCCATGCCATGCGTGTGTTTATGTCCTCATGCATGGGATGCCACATCGATCATCCCATTTCTCTCTTCTGTACAGACGCATGACACACACATGGATACATGGATGGATGGACCTGCAATAGGCATCTTATGAACAGTTTGTCGCTCACTCACTCACTCGTCCAGCCAGTCAGTCCATCAACACCATCCATCACACACCAGCACGGCACAGCACAGCACAGCACAGCCAGCCAGTATCCATGCCTGGCTCATCTACGGCAGGGGCCCACCACACTACCTATGTGGGTGTGTGCACGGGCGCGCGTGTCAGACGCATCACCGAATCCTCGTGATCACACCTGACTTTCGCCTGCTCTGCCGCAGCGTGGAATTCATGAACAAGATCCCACGCCCAATCTGACGGCTTCACGCGAACTGACTCGACACGGGGAAACGCAGCCAGCGCCTTGGCAGCCTCGGCACACAGCGCATCACAGAAGCCTCTCTTGCCCTCCGTGTCATTGAAAGGAAATGGGCCGTCATGCGACAACTCGACGACAATACAGCGCACTCGCCTCGCTACGGCTAGCTTTCCTTCCTCCCCTGTCTGATAGAGAGTGCAAGACAACTCACGTAACCTGTTCGAGCTGTATCTCGGCGCCCTCAGGTCAAAGTGGGTCGTCAGTGTGAGCCCCTCCAGCTCTGTAGATATGTACTGGGCTGCTCTGGGGATGAGGAATATGCTCAGGCGAATAACATGAATCCCCATGGGCAAAACATATCCCTCATCGCTAGGTCCCTGGCCGAAAGTGGCCAACACAGTGAAGGCCTTCAGGCCGTGCAGCTGGCTGATGACGCTGCCTGCCCCCCCACTCAACGCACTCTCCCCATCCACACACACACACAGTCGCTGCGATGGGGAGCGTCGCGCCTCACATGCATATCTAGAAGGGTCAAAACTGGTCAACAGTTTGATCGTGCGGGTGCTACTAGCCATCAGCTGGAGTGTGGGCTGTGTGCCCCACAGGTCCGCTGCACTGCCACTGAGAGGCACCACCAGACGGCTGAGCACACTCTCGCCCTTCTCGACTGTCGAATAGTGGGTGTAGTAGACCTCTCTGGCCCCGTCAGCCACACACGTGCTCCGAAACTCGTGCAGTGTCTGCAAGAAGAGAACAGCGATGCTGATCACGTCAGGGGGTGTGCGCCTCACTTCCTTACTTTGATGTATGCCGTGTTCTGGGCGGCATTTTGATAGCGTGGCAGCTGCGCGTGGATCTTCTGGAGGCGCTTGTTGCCGAAGGTGGTGCGAACCTCCTCGGCCATGTCAGCCGTGCCCTTGAAGCACACATGGCCCGTGACCGAGGTGATGGTGCCGCCGGTCGCGCCACGGCGGTCTCGCGTGATGTCTTCGAAACTCCACGTCCCACCACGTGTCTGACATACACACCACACCACACCACACCACACCACCACCCCAACAATGAATGTCGTTCTCTCTGCCACGCCACCCGCCCACACACACACCCACCCACCAGCATGATGTGCAGTGGCTGCAGGTCTCCTGCGCGATGCAGCCACGACCCCATGGCTGGGCTGTGTCCGGTGGTCAGCTCCCGCAGCGCAGGCAGCCGATACCGCCGGTCACGAGCGACCCCATACCACTGCCCCCTGACCTCCGCCCGCCGCAGCCCCGGGAACGTGACGGGGCTGGCAGGGGGGGATGTTCTCTTCTTCGCCTTCGTCGCGAAGAAGCCGTCGTCGTCGCTGTAGCCGTCGTCGCTGTAGCCCTCGTCGTAGTCCTGCAGGGTTATGCGCTCGGTGAGGTCGATGCCTAGGTCTACGGTCTCGACCGTGGGGGCCGTCATCTCGAGCAGCTCGATGAAGCCCAGGGCCTCGTCGGGATCCTCGAGTATCGACACCACCTTGACCGCCGTCAGAAGGCCTGCAGGCCGAACACACACACACACACACACACAGAGAGATGCAGATTGGTTTGTTCTCGCCCATTCCCTCATCTGTGCGCGTGGGTGCGTGCGTACCCCTCCACTGCTGTCGGTCAGCCTCGTCCCAGCTAAGCAGCCCGTTCCCCCACCTCAAGTCACCAAAGGGGTCGTAGCTGACGATCGGGTGCATCTCGGGCATCTTGCACATCCGCCAGAACGGCACCGAGATGAATCGCAGAGTGGCGATGCTGTCGGGGAACCCCAGGAACCCCCCCGATGCCGATGCGATCACCACTGCTCTGCATCACACGCGGCCCTCACAGCCGCCAACCCCTGGGCCTGCACACCATGACACAACACATCATGCCACCACAGACCATAAACGAAGGAAGGCGTGTCGGCGCGACGCACACACCTGCGCCTTCAGCTGTTCTACTCTCTGGAGCTGCATCCAGAGCGACTCCGCCACCTCATCTAAGATACCCGTCACGTCATACTCCTACACAAACCAACCGACACAGCCCACACAAGTGCATTTGATGGACACCCGCCCGTCCAGATAGACGTGTTGGCCGTGTGCCTGCCTGCCTGGTGATCTAGCTGGCCATCCCCCGCTGCAGCAGGCTCCTCCGCCAACGCCATATCCTCATGGTCGTCATCATCTGCGCCGCCACACACCTCATCGTCATGCTCATCGCGGTCCATCCTCGTCAGTGTCCCGCTTATTGACGCCTTGGCGCCCGACTTCTGACGCAATGGACGCCCGGCGCCGTCACATCGTCACGCAGCCGTGACCGTCATCTGCTACTCATCTGGCGGGATATGCTGGGAGCGGCCTGCGTTCCACATGTAAGCTCGCTGGTCGCCCGATCCCAGGATAGGAGAGTTTTTTCTGACGACCCCCATCATATAAGCTCTGCCGGATGGCATTCACACGCACACACCCCTGCACACACACAAGCCATCCATTCATACGAACACCATGTATCTGAATGAAGGCATTCCTCTCTCTCTTGCCTTCTGAAGGCACTCTTGCAGCAGCGCCAGCCTCTCGTGAAAGCGGGTGTCATCGGCAGACTTGAATGACGGGCAGCCGACAAAGTGCTGCAATGAGGCAGCT